GCGGCACAGCGGCATATGGCGCGCCGCTCCGTCGTGTCGCGCACGGTCGCGCTCGCGTCCCTGCTCGCCGCCGCCGGCGCGTCGGGCTGCGCCCGCCCGGCGACGTTCGGCGCCCACGTGCTCTACAACGCGACCTTCGTCCACGGCGCCCACGGCGAGGCGCGGCACCTGCCGCCCTTCACGCTGCTCCACGCCGTCGCCGGCGGCGACGCCATCGGCGCGCGGCTCGCCGGCGCCTGCGTCGGCGATGTCGTCGCGTGGTCCGGCGGCGACGAGGCCGTCCCCGAGCCCTTCCGCCACATGTCCCACTGGTCCGGCGCGAAAGTCGAGGCGACGGTCGCGGCGGTGACGTCCGCGGAGGACTACGAGCTCATCGCGCTGCTCAAGAACCGGAGCTACGACCTCGCGTCGAAGATGATCAACGAGGACCGCGTGGGCACGAACGCCGTCGACGAGCACGGCGCGTCCGCGCTCGTCATCGCCGTGCAGACTCGCCAGAAGGTGCTCGCCGCGTCGCTCCTCAACGCGTACAACCCGAGCGTCGACGTCGACTTCGCGACGCCCAGCGGCTACACGGCGCTCCACTTCGCCGTCGGCGCCGGCGACCGCGCCGTCGCCAAGGCGCTCCTCCGGCGCGGCGCGAACCCGAACGCGCGCATCGCGCAGCCGGACAGCGGCGGCTGGGGGCCGCTCCACTTCGCCTGCCGCTTCGGCAACCTGGACCTCGCCCAGGATTTGCTGGATTTCGACGCGGACCCCATGCTCCTGGGCCACGCGGGCGAGTCCGCGTTCCAGGTCGCGGAGGACGCGGCCGTGGACTACACGACGCGCAAGAAGCTCGCGGCCATGCTCAACGCCGCCCTCGACAAGCGGGCGCCCGAGGCCCTCGGCGGCGAGCTCTGAGCGCGCCCGCGTCGCGCGCCGTACAATATTATTGCGGCTGCCCCCGGAACAGGTTGCGATATAGATATCGTGAAGATCCCCTAGAGGATGCTCTCCAAGGGAAATGTCGCTTCGATGAAGTCCAATAAAAGCTTCAACCCTCAGTAGACGATGGCCAATGAATTTGTTTTTGAGGATGGGGAGTGGGGCGGACGAAGCGGGCGACGTCAGAGCCGAAGGAGCGGTCGAGTGTGACGAGTGGTGGCGTTGCGACGTAGTTGCGGCGTCGTGCTTTGAGGAAGTCTTCCATGAACATGTCGGTCGCTCGCTCGAAGCCGGTCGCTCGCACATGCTCGA